ATAAATAACTGCCTCAGAAATAAATTCCTACATCTACATTTGTTTTTCCCTCTTCAGAATAAATTTAGAACAAGAAATGGATAATGGTCTCTTCAATATTTGATCACAGACACTTTTATGTGACAAAAATTGCAGTGATTCCAAGACTGGGTGTAGGGAGGGGAGGGACCACCTACACATAAAGATGTAAGGTGGGAGGAAACTCAAGACACTTCCTGACAATTTAATTTTAAACAGTCATGTCTACATACTGTAACTCCTAATGGTTGGCGCCAAATCCTAGCTCAGTGTTTGTCCTTGTGGGCTTTCCCAAAGCGGTAAAAGAAAGATTGTGGCTACGTAAGCAATTAAATTTTTAATTGGTTCATAGAACAAAGAGCAAACTGTGTGCTGCAGTGTTTGACTTTAAGCTAAACTTGAGAAATAAAGGACAAAAAAGCATCCAGTGGGTTTGTTCATGTAATATTTTGAGGCAAACTCCATAAAATATCCCCTGACTCAAACTTTATTGATCATTGGAGAGGCTCAAATCCCACTGCTAATCCTTCTATATTTCCTCTCCTTTCACTCTTCCCAGCTTCTACTCATTTCAGAGCTTCCATTCATGTCCAGCCCTCATTTTTACCCCAGATGCATGGCTCGGAGTTACTTTTCTCTTTTATTCTTTTTCTGTTTTTTGCTCTACTGCTGTCTGTAAAGCCGTCCTCCACTTTTTTATTGTTTCACACGTACTTGACCTTATTCCCTGCCAGTTGATCTTTGCTCTACCTTGTCTCTCCTTCCTGCCTCTGCATTTTTTTTCTATTCTTTCTATTATTCTGTCAGGCTTTTAGTTTTCTTTCTTTTGGCTTGAGATAGCGAAATCAAAAGGTCTGCTGATGTAACTGGGTGACCAAGTGTATTTGTTTGATTATGACTGTTCCTTACAGCCCTGCTGGAAGATGCACAAAATTAATTCCACGCAAGAGCGTTCTCACTTCGAAACTCCCACCTGCAGCGCAATAGATGATCAATTCCAATTCAATTGTTCCATTTTTTGGTTAATGGTTTAGCATTGTCACACTGATTAGCTTTAGTTCAAGGATGCTCCTTTCTATGTCAGTGAAACTTCATTTGAATTTGCAGCGGGGCTTGATTCATGTTTTAATCATTGAGCTTGGTGAGGCGCTCGCAAGCAGAATAATGAGCAGCTGAGAGAACAACAAGACAATATCCTGGAACTTCTGGTATCACGGAGGTGAAATAAGTTTCAACTGCAACTGTAATGGTTGCAAATTGAAAATTGAAAGCTTCTCTTAATGCAGAATAATTAAACCACTCGTGACCGTGTAGGCTACAAATTAAAAGAATGAGAAAAGAAACAGAAGGGAACAAAAGGGACCAAGTAAAACGCAGGAATCATCCCACCCGCCCACCTTTTTTTAGTTTAACCAGTGCTGCTAACATGCTATAACAGCATTGCTATTCCCACATGCAATTCATACACATTGTGCATATTAAAAATGTAAAGACATATAAACAGACCTGTGAGCTCATCATTAGGCCAGGAGCCCAGCTCACAGGCGCGGCAGGTGTATTCATCAAACACAAACTCGTTCTCTTTGCAGGGAGTGCACGTCCAGCAGCAGCTCACCTCTCCCTTACGAATTACCTGAAAGAGATCAAATAAGCACTTGATTTGAGCGCAGAGGTCTGTTTTAGATTCCTGAACTAAGTTAAGTCTCTTTGAATTTGCTGACATGGCAGATCTTATGCACCAGCCGATATATTCGCACAAAGCTTCAGCTTTAGTCAAGTCAAGATCTGATCGTTTTGAATTTTGGACAGGAAATGAGGCACGGTGAAGTTAAAAGCAATAGAACACGGCTGCAAACAAGTCCCTGACATGACAAAAGCTCACAGGATAAAAGCTCACACCCTTAATGAAAAAAATACAAAACCTCACAAATTATACACAATTTATTAGCCACACATTAAAAGCAGTAAAAGCACAAAATATATCACACATCAGAGCTATTCAACTAAATTGCTCCGGGGGCCACAGTTACTGCAGGCCAACAGCTGAGGGGCCGAACATTCAACAAGTCATTATGTAATTAAAACAAATATTACAAAGATCTGTTATCTTTGAAATAGTTTATTTTGCTGCATTTAATTATGAATACAACATACAGAACCCTATGTAATAAATGTATTGATAATAAAACAAAAATAACACATTATGCCTCTCATTTACCCCTAATAGTATTTTGACATCTCTGACTTGCCAAATACGTATTTAAACCAATTTTAATTTCACTCCTAGTTTTATTTTTAACTGCTTGTAGTTTTAACTGTCTTGGTGTTCATAGAAATGGTTTTTACCAGCTTGTAGCCAAGATTCTGACATTTCTGTAGATACCAAGCATGCCTATGTCTAACTAAAAGAACATAAAGAATTTAAAGTAGAAAACCAGGGGTTTGTTTTTAAGAGATGAATGAACCAATTGGCAGGCCAAACTTTGGTCACTCACGGGCCGGATGTGGCCCCTGGGCCGCCAGATGAATAGCCCTGTCATACATCATACATATATCACATTACAAATGTAACCATATTGTATGAGATTTAAAACACTCATCAACATAGGAACTGTTTAACCCTGCTTAAGCAAATACAATTTTAGTACAAAATAAGATGTGTAAAGTTATAAGGTGAGAACAACTCAAAATAAGGTATGTGGGAACAAACATCAAACCTTTGGTGTTTAAAAAAATGTGAGCTCTTTTCATTAGGGCTGTGAGTTTTTGTCGTGTGAGCTTTAGTCCGTACACTGACTGGAAACTAATGGCTAAAACAAATTAGGATTCAGAGCATATTACAGGCACATTTAATACAGTAGATATCAAAACAATAAAATCATTTTTCACTCAGTGTTATTTGGTCTATGTTCTTTTTTAATCAATTTCACAACATAAAATATAAAAATGATGCACACTAAATACTCCAAATGGTTGCTTTTAATATAGCTGATGGCATTGTTGTATTGTAAAGTCTCTAAAACAAACATTTTAAATATTTTATTTATTGTTACATATTAATTTTCATCAAAAGATTAAATCTGTCAGCTTACCTTAATCTGTCCTTTGTCACAGGGTTCACTGCAGACTGATTTGATAATGACATCTTTGCTGGACCAGATCTCATCATCATCTATCTTCAAACCACTGTTGTCCCAACTCCCAACATTAATGTAGTCGTAGTAGTCCTTCCCCATCTTTTTGAAGTTCATTATTTCATACCTGTTAATTAAAAGTACGTAGATACACACTAACAGGTAGTTCTTCTGTAAACCAGCAGGTCAAACAACAAGAACAAAAGAAAAAAAAAATCACGCTTGCTCTCACTGACTGGTTTCAGATCCTACCTGCCAGGTGAGTCGCCGTTTTCATCGAACAAGATGCCCTCACCCGATACGCCGGTGAAGTTAGTTTTCATCAGAAAGTCCAGCAGTGTAGCACCATCTATTGGTCGCATGGCATCACAAAGACCCTTAAAATACATGATAATAGTGTAAACAATCGCCTACAAAACATCTTACGAACGTACTTGTTTTTTGAGGAATCAGATAGGCGTGTCCTGATATCAGCTTTTTCTCAAACTGTGTACAAGAGTACTTTAGTTTGGGTAAGTGTTTTTAGGTTTGTATGTCTTTTGCTTTTTTTCCCCATTAGTTTTCCCAACAATTTCTCTCTTTTTTTTCTGTTGAGATTTCTGACAAATTTGAAAATAAGAACTCGGGTGATTATTTTAGGATGGTTTTGACATTTGATATTCAGTTTCTACATCAGCCGTAAAAATGAAATAATTTTCTCACTTGATTCATTGTTTCATAAAAACAGCACTTTTTTTTGCTGTCTTAACTTCTATAAATGATTCATCTAAGCTGTTGTGTGTGGGGGTCATTTGTGTAAATTTGTGTGCAGTTATTTTTTATCCAATATAAACCTGTTCAGACCTCATATTTACAGTGTAAAATTACACACACTGTCATTATGATGGAGGGAAACGTGCATCTGAAATAATTAAAGCGGGGAGGGGCAGGGCACTCTAAACCTCTCTGCAGAAATAAAATTACTGTAGTTGTCTCCAGAGCAGAATAAAGAAGTGTAAAACTAATTACACAAAGTAATTTATTCACTGACAGATAGCAAAGGGGTTTTTCATGGTGAAAATTTGCTAAATGAAGAACAGAGAACTAAACACAAAATTCCAATCAGTAAAATTACAGTCAAAAGACGGCAATCTAGTGATGAACAATTACCGTTTCTAAGCCACTTCTTAGGAGGAAAAAGAATTAGACTAAACGTTTGTGGTGGACTAAGACAGAATCTCATTTTTTTATATAATGAATGGCTTAAGAATGGTCTTCAGTGATAAGGTGTTTGAGATTAATGGCAGCAATTTTAATCCTGTGTATGAAGATGAACGGGAAAGATAAAACACACACTGAAAAGTGGTAATAAAACTAACAAAGCCAGAGGTTATCCAGCCTTCTCTGATACAATGTTCAAAATTTGTCAAACACATGCTTCACAGTCTGAGAAATACTTACATTTTTTTGCTTTAAGACCTTTAAACGCGTGTAATGTTACAAAAAGTCAAAAACGGGTCACATGAAAACGAACCCTAATGCTACAGAGCAGGGTTGTCCAAACACCATTTCACCTCACCTGTTCAAGATCAGGTTAATTAGCCTGTGTAGCACACCGGAGACTTTCACAGAGCCTGAACATGTGAGGAGGGTTAAAGTTCGTGGCCTGTTCATATGACTCTGATCCAGGAACCTAGTTGGTGCCAAATTGGCACTCGTGTGAGAAAACCACTGCATGCTGGAACACGCTGCTCTAACCACCGACCCTGTTATCACCCAGCTGATTCTGAAATGTCATCTTTTCCTTTCATGTGTCTCTTCGCTTCGCTCCATATGCTTTCTGGACATACCTGATATCCTGGGCAGAGTGAACGCTGCATGTTATGCAGACCATATGCCATGGAGTAGATGGCATTAATGACAAATCCCATCTTGGTGTCTTGCGCGTACTGCTGCCGAAGGGACTCCCGTTCTGTAGAGGCAGAGAAGTGAAAACTAGACTGACATGTACAGGTGGGTAGAAAAGGATTTGCACATCGGAAATAAAAAAAATGACAATGTTCTTCTTTATTCCTGACATCAAAGGCTACTTTTTTCTCCTCTTTCTCATCAGTTACTCTCCACTTCTGCATCTCATTTCTTTCTGTCTCTGTCTATGTCCTGTTCCTTTGTATTTCACGTCCTTTTTCAATAGAATAAATATGAAATGACTCTCTTTGATGCCACACTGTTTAGCCTATGAATGGAGTGAACGACACAGTGACAAGAGGAAAAGGGGGACTGAATGAAATATGAAAATCAAGGGAGCGTTCACGCTTAAGTTGAACCAGAAAGCTGTGCGAACCCACATGGTCTGTTGGTGAGTATTCAGCCTGTCTGTTGGTACAATATTTACAATATTAGTTGTTATTATGAGAGCTAGTCAATGAAAATGTCGATTGGTATTGTTCCCTTTTATGCTGAAGCAATGATGACTCTATTTTCCACATCCCAGTGATGTACAGCAGAGGTACAGTTTTCACTTCCTATACCGATAAAACCCAAAGCACTATAAAAACAGCTGCAACAGAAACCACCTAATGTAGCCAGTACTTACTGCCACAAGTGCGGTTGTACTTGTTGTTTTCTTGTGGGTGACCTTTCAATCGGCAGTGAAAACGATGCTGCCAGAACTCCGGAAACCAAGGGTTCCTGTGGTTGTTCTCTGGGCGAAGTTTAAGGTAGTAATCATCGAACCACTTCACATCAGCTGACTGGAGCTTGATGGTAATACCCCCAGCTGCTTCCCTGACGTAACCATCTGTCACGTCATACCTGTCTGCCCAGCCATCACTGCACACATGTAAACAGACAATCAGAAACATTTAGACAAATCCTAGGGTCCAAATGAATCAATATACACCCCCAAGAGGGAAAATAACAGCTCCACTTTTTCCCCACAAAAACAAAAATTTACATTGTTTTTCGTTAAATCTGTAGTGGAGCAGTTTTGTCAGACAAACACACTGATTATGCTGCCTCTGCCTTTTGAATACCAGTCAATAATAATAGTTTTGACAGGAAACAAGTCTTGTGAAAAGTACCTCAAAGTGATACTTGAGTGAAAATACAAGTATCTTACCTTAAAATTACTTTGGTAAAAGTCACCTTTAAGGATATTACTTGAGTAAAATTCTAAATTTCTGATATAAAATGAACTTAATCAAGTTCAATTTTATTTGCAATTTGCAGAGAAACTACATTGGAAAATTTATTTACTTTTAATACTTAAGAATTAAAAGTAAAAGTACTGAGTAAACCTGAGCTGTTTAAATTTCCAAAATGAGTATAATCAGGAGATGATCTCCCAAAAAATATTTTTCTAAAGGCCATAATGACTGTAATTCTATACTAGAACTGCAAGGCAGTTGTAATAGGAGTCCAAGCCTGTTTATACACGTTGACCCTGGCATATTTAGTCCACAGCCTCCTGTAGGCCTGTGTACCACTGACGTTATAGCATGATGAGAAATATTTATAAGGTTTATTTGAGGCATTGCAGACAAATCTTTGTTTCAGAATGGTATATATTTATATTTCTCATCCAGCCATGTTTAATTTCCTCTGTCCGGGAGGCACTATTTATAGGATAGGCTCTTTTTTATTGCATAAAAATGTAAAAAGTAGGCGTTACAAGTCAGGTGAAAAAATAATTGATCCAGTGAAGCATGGGTAACCAAAATAACTACAGTAAAGTAACTAAGTATTTGTACTTTGTTAATTTACACCTCTTTAGGAAACTGACAAAAATATTATGAATAGAGTATTTTAAAAATTGATCTGACTTATTGCAGTGCAGCTTAAACTGTGATTATTTGATTTATTGAAAACCTTAAATGTTCTGTATACAAAAAGAAACAATTGTTCTGTACGTATTTGGTGTTTCATTGCTACTTTTGTCAACTTAAATATTATAGTGAACTGTGAGACCACAGCTCATTGTTGGATTGTAAGCAGAAGATCCTGGAGCAATGCAACGTATCTACACTGCAAGCAATTAACACTGCACAAAAGGAAGTCAAACTCACAATCCAGGTAAAACCTGCCATCTTTCTCTGTTGTTTGCTTCCAGATAGAGAACATGTTGCAGTAAACAAACATAACCTCCTAGTTGCTGTTCCAGTCTGATACAGACACTGTGTCTGTGTCTATATCAGCACCAGCTCTCAGTGTGATCTGAGCTGTAAAAAATGGAACAGGTGCAGTAGCTAATTTTGTCATCCTATCTTGTCATAACAAGTACACGAGAACATAAAAAACTCCCTAATTGCAGGCCTTAAATGCAGCTGCTAACTTCCAGCTCCTGACTCTTAGCAGCTCCTGTCTCTACATTTCGTCCCCCAATTTCAACAAACCAACTCTGTTCTTATTGGACAGTCTCTGAAAAATGCTGCTCAGGAGATTTCAACTCAGGCTCTGCAGGCAACATAAACAAGGTTTCAAAAAGGAATGTTTTTACTAATATACAAGATTATTTTCAAAATTGGATGGGTGAATTTATTTTTTGTTCCTCACTGACTGCACCTGAGCACCAAGCCTCAGGATACAGGACGTTCTTCTGTTTTGCTCTGTTAGCACAGAACACAGTCTGCCTTTAAGCTTGTGATCTGCTTTACTCCATTCTCCTGAGATCAGACAACAGTCCCGAGATGTAAGAGTAAAGGAATACCCACAACATCTCTTGCATCTTTTTTTCTGGGTCAGTAATGCTCCTTGTAGACAATATTTGGTCCAACTACAAACCTGATTGTTGGAAGGCAGTTATGGTCTGAGGTTTTGCTGAATTTAATTCTAATATTTCCTTCACTCCAGTATATTTCTGTGTTGACTGATTACTATTAATGTTTGATTCAGGAAAAATAAAGCAATACAAAATAAAAAACAGATAAATAAAACTGCTGCTATATCTGCATCTATTATCCTATTTCAGTGTTTCCCCTACCATTATACAGGCGGGGCAGCCCCCCCTCCCCCGCCGCCAACGAGACGGCCCGCCC